TAGCAGAGATGAAATCATCCTCCCCGTGGTGCGCTCCGAGATTTTAATTTCTCCGGAATGTATCGTACGTACATCCGGCCCTCGTTAAATCACTCACACTTCCTCAGTTTTCAATTTCTTCCTACCGTGGAAAAAATCACCAATCTCTCTTTCGAATTGCTCGACGGAGAATGAACAGCAGATTGCGCGTCGCAAAGAAGACAAAAAAATCGGCCGATTTTATCGATCGTAGATTATTTGCGCAACATGAAGTGCCTCGAGCTCACGAGTAGATTCAATATCTAGAGATCTTAAACCGTGGTAAGATCAAGTCACAGCGATTTTGCCGCGACTTTAGTATCTCCTTGGTCGATCGCGATGACTGAAATCGATATACATTTGAGGAGAGCCTCCAGGATTTCCTAATACCGAACGTATAACAAGAAAATTATCCACTCGAGGGGCCTCCAAAAATGGAAACGGGAATGTGTAGAAGAAGAGGAAGGTTGAAAGGTCACCGTAAAGATGGGGAGGATAGTTTTCTCGATCCGGTAAGGTTCGCAACAATGTCCGGTGGTCCCAAGACTGGTGTCCTCCACGAATACAATGGCCGCGAAAAATCATCCATTATCCGCGCGAGATCCACAGAAGGGAGATGACGAGAGAAAGATGGAAAGAAGATGGTGAGGTTGCAAGTTCAGGCCCACGGACAATGGCGTACGCCCATATATCACCCGACTGATTTTCCCGAAAAATGGAATCAATGAGTCTTCCTCGAAGGTGCAACGTAGAAAAGGTCGGATTCTGTGCCGGTTTTCTAGTCAGCTTTTCGACCTGGTGGAACACTTCCGATCACATTTTGACCATTATGGAAGACGAAAGTTTGTTCAAATTCTTAGCGGAAGTACGACAATTTGAATACTTTACAAGACTTTACTTTACGAGATTTAAGAAGTTTAAAAACTTGGGAATAAGCAAATCGATAATATTTTGAGAATAAGAGAAGAACAAAGGAGAAGAAATAATTTATATATATTATATATATTTATATATATTATTTTCTATTTAATATTTTCAATAAAAATATAAAAAGAAATAAAAAATAAAGAAAACGAATAAAAAAATCATTAAAAAAGAACGGATGATCAAAAAATAATACATGTATAATAACAGTACCTTTAATTATTCAAAATTAAAATTTGCGCAGTCCCCATATGTATAAGACTTTTTATATATAATCGCTTAAAATTATACATGGCGTATATGTAAAGACAATTATTTGACTTTTAGAATTTGTATAGATTAAAAATCAATACATTTTTTATGATTCAGTAAATAAGAGATATACGTACATCTTTTGCTTAGACGTTCCATCTCCCGATATAGATGAAGTACGGACTCACGATCTAAATCTAGCCATCGAACTCGCACATTCCTCCATGACGCCGATGTATTATAGATATATACACATACAAATATATATACTCGCGCGTGTATATCGCTCTTCGATTCCAGCCATAGCCAAAACGATTATAATAACTATTTTATCCGGCGCGGATCTGGGCCATTGTGCCTCTCCATTCTGAAAGTCATAACACGGTGCCTGTACTGCCCTTCGGGAACTGCCTCGACTGTGTTCCCCTTTTGGCTGTGCTATACCACGGTGTAACCTGGTGCACCATGAATTTCAAACACACATACATACACGCACGTAGAGAGGTATGTATGCCCAAGGATGCGACCGCGGCGACCGGCACACGTTCAGACCCTTCTGTAACTACACGTGTCGCGCGTATGTATATGTGTACCTCAAACATGCAAATGTATTGTGATTGTATATGCGGATCTGAGTATCTACATGAGTATGCGTGACGACACACGACACGCACACGCAAACGATTATCTTCCATATGTACGTACAAGTACAGTGAACGAAATGTGTGCACGGAAACTTGCGTTGTCGTACACATAGGCTGTCTTGGAACTACGAAACATAATCTTAATGATAGATTATTTATCATTCTGTTGTTATTTAAAGAGAGATTTCAAGAAATTGAAGTGATAATTTTGATAAAAATTATTTCAATCCCCAATTAAAATCTCACATAAGTAAAATTTATAAATTCAAATATTTTATTGAAATTTATTTTAATTTCGCCTATCAAATAGCTCTTTGAAAACAAGGTACTTCACGAAAAGTTCTTCAATCTTACTTGCTTACCATACGAAAACTATCGATTTCTTGACATTTTAATTAAAAAAAATGAAGTAATCGAAGATTCTCTTATTGCAGTTGAAGGTTGCAATTTTGAGACACCCTATATTCAACCACTAGCGATCACGGTCTCGCGCTGACACCGGCGCACGCATACGCACGTATGAATACCCGCGTCTGTGTACGTATCGCGGCGGTGGCACACATCGACCACCGGCAATATTTCACGGCATATTGTTGCCATCTGCACACGCAACCCTGCGCGCACGACAGAATGCACGACGTAGGAGAGACGCGCGCTTTTATTTATCTGCTATTTATTTGCCAACGCGCGCGCTACCGAAGCGCGGTATATACCCCCCCGACTCACGACCCTGCCGGGGACAGATTTGAAAAGTTATTAATCGTTCTGTTTTGGATAGGAGTGCCACGGCACTCCGGTCCCCCCCCCCCCTCTTCCCATCGACAGACGAGCTCCTTTTATGCGAGCTGCCGGCTAACCAGACGACGATGGCGCATATTGGCCGTGCGAGCGAACGTGCCCCCTTTCGATCGGCTCGAGAGGGTTCCTCGAGGTGTGAATCGATGGGTGGAGACAAGCCACAAAAAGTTGAGATCAAGTCAACTCGTTCGCGAGGCGAAGGGAGATGGATTAAGACGTGAATACGTCCGCGTGCACGGTACATCGTTTTGCTCGCGCGAATCATAAGAGAATCGAACGTTATTTGACTCAAAATATTGCGAACCTTGGGTTTATCTTTCCTCACGAATATGTATAAGCCGATTCATAAATATTCACACGCGGGAAAAAAATTTCTTGCGTACCGTAAAATGCAATATCTAGATGGTGGATACGCCTTTTGCGATCGAGATAACGAAAATGTCGTAAAGTCCGACAATTGAAATCTTTCCGGTGGCGAATAAAGAAACGGGAGTTGCAGCGTCGCGAGATAAGAGGTGACGCCGGTGCGTGGGACCGTTATCTCCACAACTTCATAAATATTTAAGACGCCTGCTTGCGTATGATGCCTGCACAGATGCCCGGGCCGGCAACGTCCAAAACAAGTTAAATATATAATCTGTATCGTGATGATGTGTATCTTCCACGATGATACGCCGTAATCTTAACGTATGATTCACACGTATGATGAATAACGATGTCGCAATGTCCGAAAATTTAATGAGGCTTCTACAGATACACAAAGCCGCTTACCCAACGATCAACTGCAATTTCATGCTTCGTAAACAGATCGTCTCTAACGGAAAGTAAGGGAAACGACGGTTTATGCTATCACTTTTATAAGGCGAATCTATTCACTCAGTAATTATTTGCCCTATCAGGGTGGGTACTCAAATTTTGTAGAAGAATTCCCTGAAAATTCCCGGATTTTCCAGGAATTTTATTCAAAATTCCAGATAAGATTAGAGAATTTCTCAATACAACTTTAAGATATATTAGGCACTAAGAGTTCTAATAACGTATAGAACTTGATGCGTGAAACAATTTAATCTTCTCATATGTACAATAGTTACATCTCCCTACAAAATTTGTCGAACGTAACGAAAGTTTTTATATGGAGATGTAACTACATAAGTGAAGATTAAATTGTTTCACGCACCAAGTTCTGCGTTATTAGACTCTTAATGCCTGATTATTATTTCCGGATTATCGTTTTTTAGATTGAAGAGTTTTCAATATATGTCAATTTTAAAATAAATTAACTTTCAATAGGAAGAGCACACGTATGGGACCATGTTTACTTTCTAAAGGGATAAAATTAAATTTTAAAAATTCAAAAAATTTTTCTGAGTACCGGTAAAATTCCATAAAAATCTAAGATTTTCAAGGGTAGAAATAAAATTCCCTAAGAATTCCAAGTTTTCAGAATTTTGCAGAATTCGTCGAATGAAACAAAATAAAAAATAACAAATTTTAATATTCCTTTATATTTTATATTTTACATTTCTGAAATATTTTGAGTAATTTTTATATATTTTTTTATATTAGAATTTTCTAGAAAGAGGGAAAAGAAATATACGCCGATTCGAGCCCGCTCGCGAAACCGCTCCCCTCGGCACTCATTTCGGTTTTTTATGCGTTTCGGTAACACACATTCCCAATTCTAGCCGCGACTCGTCCCCGCAATTCGTCCAAGGGTGAGAAGCCGCCATTTTTCCCATAAAAAATCCGCCAAGTTCGCGCTTCCTGTTCGCGCGTCTCCGCTCTCCTCGAGAGCGCACAGCGCCAGGAGGAAGCTCCGGAAAAGGGAGTAGAATACGGGGGTGTGGACCGACACGGTAAAATATATTCCAGTCAACTTCCGTTGGAAATAAATAAGAGTCACGCCACGCGATCTCGCTGCGCCCCGACAACGGCGGCCATTCGTGTGCAGGGGACCTTATCTTTCGATATCTCTCCCTTCCCCTTTCACACCCTAGGCTAAGAGAAGCCATCGAGAGGAGTTCCGCCGCCACTCATCAAGATATACAGGGATCAAGATGGGACTCTCTGTAACGCGCTTGCGTAACCGCTCTTTAATTACTGAACACCTACGTAATTGTGAATTCCGTCTTCCTAATGACGTTCGCAACACGATGAGCGCTGATTAGCTCGTGATTAACTCCCATTATTCTTGATATTACTTCTGCGCCGTTTTGCGAGAAATTCTCGGAAATAAAACTTAAGTCAATTATTTCATTCCCCCTTTTGCGTTTTATGTCACACAATAATCCTTTCGTGAAGTATTACACGATACGTTTAATTGAAATAATATTAACTCTATGTTGTTACAATTTCTTTTTACAGGCGAGAAACCTTTTAGGTGCGAGTACAGTGGCTGCGACAGGAGGTTCGCGAATAGTAGCGATCGAAAGAAGCACAGCCACGTTCATACTTCGGACAAGCCTTACAATTGTCGAATCACGGGATGTGACAAGTCTTATACCCATCCTAGTTCGCTACGCAAACACATGAAGGTATGTCTTCCGGGGTCGAGTTAATCATGAAACTAGCTTGTCAGGCAGATGAGAATGCACTACTAGGAATTCGATCCTATCGTTTCACACACATTCGGGCTGCCTGCGTTTCGTAAGCTACACATTCAATAAACAACTTTAAGACAAAAAAGACAATGCCAGCACGAAAGTTTCTAATATATAATAAAAGCTTATAATTACACCAAATTATTTTAATAGATAACTTAATATATTATATAGATATATTATGTAGATAGATAATTTAATAATTTTTTGCGATTAACACGGAACATTTTTTATGTCTGAAAATTGCAAAAATAGATTAACTGCAGAATAAAATTAAAAAACATGAAAAAAATGCGTGGTTCCAATTGGTAATTAATCGCGGTCAATCTTAATCACATTTCGCTCGTATCAAAGCTTAGACTTCTGTTTCGCGTGTATGTTGCCGGGATGCTGAAGACCGCGTAAATTGTGAAACAAAACTGTGCGCCGTTCCTAAAACTACAGTGATTTTTTTCGCCCGAACGATCGCGGAATCTTAATAAGAAATTATCTCACAGCACGGAAAGGCACGAGAGGTAGGGAACCGTGCAAAAACCCAACTTCCGAGATACACGCGTGATAGGTCAGCTTCACCGGGAACGCTTTCGCTACTCCACGGTTTTCGCAGACGTGATTCGCGGAAGGCAGTCGTCGAGATTTGCTCACTGAATTATGAAGGAAGGACCAGAGAGATGGAAACGGATCTCTGATCCCCTTTGCTTTCGTACTGGACTTCTTGGGTCAGGCCAAGGTGCTACTCTCTCCGCTGATCCTCCGTGATCTCGCGTCTCGATATCGCCGACGATCGACTTCCAAGTCTCTCAACGTTATAAGTCCCCCCGCGGAAACGTATCGTATAAATCAAAAATATGTTTCGTATACTACACGAAAACGCGTGAAAGTTCTTCTGAGAAAATGATAACAGGTAAATTTTAACGATACATCGTGCAGTGGCACTTACGACCGAAAAACTTTTGTACACAAGTAATTATTATCCATTTGCTGGAAAAAATATATCTTTTGATCCGAATTTAGATATACATATAGACATAATACATAAATTTGACTACGTTTCGAAGCTTTTATATAAACAAACATGTAATATATCTAAGAAACATACAATTGCGATAAATATCTTTTTTACAATAGTAATGACAAAATTCGTCATTACGGTCGCTGTCTAATGCGAAATCGTTTTCGGTGTTCTCATTCCAGGTACATGGATTGACATTAACCGAGGGAAAAGTAGGAGGCGGATACGAGAGCGAGGGAGAAGAGAGCAGCAGCAGCGGGGGTAGCCTGTCGGTGACTGGTAACACGGAATCGCCCCAGCCACCTCCGGCTACAAGGACAACAACCAATCTTCCACCCACGAGTCGAACTCACGATCCCTCGATTCGCGGAGCGACGGAGGTGGCGGAGTGGTACGTTTGTCAGGCACCGACAGTCGGCCCTCAACCAGGGCCACTACCTGGTCCACCGCCGCCGCATCATCTTGGTCATCATTTCAATCAGTTGATACACCATCAAGCAGCCCATCAAGCAGCCGCTTATTAGGAAATATCGATAGGTCGAAGTTGTGACCAAGAGAGTCTTTCTAAAATCTCCGTTCCTATCCGCTCGCACCTCCGTCTGATGATGCGAAACAAGATTCCTTGCTGAGGACGAGTTACGTCAAAGAAGATGACAATCATGTGTCGATTTAGCAAAAATAATGCTTTGAAGAAATATTCTAGAATATACCTATGACGAAATTTCGTACTCATCATATATGAGATATGGTGTAATAAAGTGAAACAGCTCTGAGAATTAATCAATAAAGAGAGAAAAGAAACAGTAGCCTAGTAGAGCCAACACGGACATTAGTGCATAATGATTGACTAATATCGCATTGGTTTTACTATAAGTTATTGTTTTTTCCTTCCTTTATTGGTATATGATGTGTTAATCAGGCTCCATTGGCGCATTATATAAAGAAGCTCATGAATATTTAGAATGCATCAAGGAAAACGTGCTGTACACACCACTGCAACTGATTTTTCGAGGTAACTCTTATATAAATGTGAAAAAAAGTGTGAATGGACAAACATTTTTTAGTAATATGAGCCAAATTATATATCTATTTTGGTCTCAATTGAAATATTTATCAATTAATGATTATCAAACAAAAGAACATACAATTTACATCAACATAATTCTTTTGCGAAAAGTGCATTTTATAATTAGTATTTCTGTTCTAGACAGTATCATAAAATAACTCTATTTTCAAATAAAATTATATAATCTTTTCATATTAATCACAATTCTTCCTAATATTCTGCGTATATACATATAAATGTTAATGTAAATTAGTAAAGGATACTTTTTTAAATATTAAGTGCACAATAAAACACAAATAATTATTGTAACAATATTATAAAAATAATATTCTAAGCATGCAGTTGGTAAAAGACATATATTGCTTAATCTTTAAAAAATAGTAAGAAATATTAGAAAATGATAAAAATGATTATAATATATTTTCTTGAAATTATTTTATTGTAACACAATTATCTTATATGCAGGATATTAAGAGGATTTTATTTATATGAAAAAATCATATAAGTAAAAAATTTGAATCTGGAAAGTTATGCTGATTGTAAACGTACCAGTGGCTGAACGTATATCTATAGCTAAACAAGTACACAAAAATTTATTTTTAAATGATTTTTTTCATAATATTATAATTTAATTGTAATCTTTATATATTTTTACAATTAAATTTTGATATTATAATAAAAAAAGTATTTGAGATTAATAAATTTTGTGTTCTGATATAGATACATGTTCAGCCACTGGTACGTTTACCTTAAAATAATCTTCAAAACAAAATACCTGTGGTGTCTATGATGTTTTTCGATAATCACTACTTTTGAAAATATTTCATACAAAATTATACAATTCATCTTGTACAATAAAAAGTTAAATTTGTTGATTCAGGCTTTACTATAATATCACTGTTCATAAGTATATGTAGAGTAAAAATGAAGGTGTCTGCGTGATATAATAGGTATCCGAGTTATCGGTTAAGTCTATTAGAAACGTGGTCGATTTAATAAAATAATATAGAATTGCAAACATGATAATTTTAAGTTAATTTATACTCAACTCTGGACGAGTTGCGTAAAGATGCACGATCTGTCTCGTAATTTTGATGCGCGAAACATTGATGCAAGACACACCGTGATCTCTTGCAATGTTGACAAAACTCGTGATATTTGCTTGTACGAGAATTGAAAGGTTCAATAGGGCTTGCTGCAACATTGAGCTAACTCATGATTTTATAACATTTCATTAAAAAATGAAGAAAATAAATTCGAAAGTTTATTATTTCAAATTTTAGAATTTTACAACTAAATTCGAGAGCGCCTTCTATACGGCCACGGCTGGATCTCGATTCTCGGTGCCTAACGAATTCTATATGAATTTCTTAACTCCATGTTCAGCCGTTTAAACTGCGCACCGAACAAATTTTCGGACTTACAACGCAATTATTTAGCTGACACTGAGACTCTAGAGATATCATATTGATCTTCAATTGATCTTAATAAATTGATACTTATAAGCATCTTAAAATACTGAAAAGAACTTATTGCGAAAAATATTACCTCAGCCAGGATTTTAACCTGGAACTTCCCAATTTTTCGGGACGCAATATTTTTCGTAATAAGTTCTTTTCAATATTTTAAGATGCTTATAAGTATCAATTTATTAAGATCAATTGAAGATCAATATGATATCTCTATTCCAATCTACCTAAATAATTGCGTTGCAAGTCCAAAAATTTATTCGACGCGCAGTTTAATTGGCTGAACACGCAGGAATTAAAAAATTCATATAGAATTCGTTAGGCACCGAGATCCAGCCGTGACCGAGAAGACGCTCTCGAATTTAGTTGTGATTCACATACGCGATCCAGTTCAAATTATAATTATTGTTTGCATTATTATACTTTAGAGTTTATTTTCTCCGTTTTTTATAAAATGTTATAAAATGTAGGTTAGCCCACTGTTGCAGCAAGACCTCCAATTGTTCGGATATAAATCGGAATTTCGTTTGCTGTGCACTGCTTGTGCTAAGCCAGAGAGAAAAATAATTACACGGCATAGGTTACCAATGATCCGCGGTAACGCCGGATCGACCTCTATATTCAAAATGTCATTAGACATTGGAATCTCTGCGATGCAATATCTGCGATACAATTTTATATAGCCCCCAAATAGTGGACAGTGCTTTAGACAGCATCCATCAAAATAAATGAGAAACAAATTCACACTATGCTAATAAATTATTTTCGTTCTTTTTGTTAATAAAAAGTGTGTAGTCACGCTGCTCTCTGTCGATTCTGCAGACAATATTCAATTTGGCGTTTTAAGTTTTACAGTCTTTCAGAGACAAGAGTGCGAATAACCAAAATTAGAAAAATGGAAAGCGACAGGAATAATTTTATTTGTGCAAAGATCCAATAATTAACACAAATAAGCGAAAAAAATTTTATTCAGTCAGACAAAGCGCATCTTTGTGCCCCATAATTAAATTATTGAATACAATATTATTATATATCTCTTCGTGTTTATTTTACGACTGATTTATCGCGATAATCATCAATTGCCTTTGTGATCTGAATGAGACAATTGGATTTTTTTTTCATTGGTAGTAAATCATAGTAAGCTACTATTTTGAAACATAAAAGACTGAAGAAAAAACATTTTTTTTTATTCTGGTCATCTAATTGTAAATTATTTTTAAGATTGCTATACTTGGATAAAGAACGCCTTGAAAAAATTTTCCTGCGCATTATGTACAAAAGAAATTTTGCACATAGCACAATTGTACTTTTTTCTGATTTATTTGCTGTGATTATTTTTCGTGTCTCATGTATTATTTATACCAATTATTCATATCTCTTTATAAATTTTATGGACAATTGCGCTTATTATAAATTCCTCTGTAGATATAGAGATTATATTAGATATATAAACTATGTATATTGTATAATATAATATTGGAATGTTTATTTTATTTACGTCATTGAATTTGCTTTTTAATATTATAAACAATTCTATAATTTCTTTAATTTCGAAAAATAATATAACTAAATTACTTGATATTTTGTATTCTAAATTACTTTCTACATAAAATTTGTACAAAAAATTAAGTAAATTTCTTCAATATATTATATTATAGCAACACATTATTTATGATATGCCAACACTCATAAAAATACCATCTTACGCATATATAGAGATGCAATGTCCTTTTTTTATTTTATTTTCGATTTAAAATTTAATTTTCGGATAAATGTAATCGGTGATGTAATATGCTATGGAATAACAGATCAAGCAGATATACAAGAATATACAAGCCACGCTCGTGCCTCAATTTAATTAATCGCCAAATAATTAGTGCGAGTCTTTTGTTTGTTTACAAACAATTTCTCACAATGCGCTTCTCGTATACTCGAATCTAACGGCAAAACACATTCGTAGTATTAGCGAGAAAAGGGAAAGAGAAATCGATTAATCGCGCTTTATTTTGGCAAGTGCGAGATATAAATATTTTGCAAGATTTGGCGAGTACCAAGTTGTATATAAAGTCAAACGCGAAGACACGAACTACCGCGGTAGGTGTTCAATGTACAATACTTACAACTTTTATTATGTGTGATATCCTGTAAATTTGAAAGCGTAGATAAGCGAGTGTAACATTATTGTAATAATTATTTTCATTGTGAATATGCGTATTATATCGGCGAAGAAAAGAATATCAGCTTTTGTCGAGCATTATTGTACCATATTATATTTGTTTTGCAGAAGATCTGAAATATATTGACAAGACAGAATATTGAGATGCAGTCTTACTTATTTCAGATGCTGAGTAATCCTACACGTGCACGCAATATACATATGTGTTTTGAAAGCTTTATAATCTCTCTTCCTATAATAGCGCATATCTGAGCATGTCAAAATTTTTAAATTGTATATTATATTGATTTACATCCATACGGAGATATCGTATTTTTGTTATCAATATAAATATCGATAACAATATCTGAGAAATCAAGTTCATTATGCCCGAATAGAAACGATTTTATTAAAAACATATGAAATAATTGCGTACACGAAATATATGCAAATAATAAATTTCTTCGGCAAAATAAACGAAGTTTTTACTCTTTATTTAATAGATGCCCCTCTCCATCCGTCCTTTCGTACGGTACGAATAATGGCAGACAGAGAACTCTCGCGTATGCGTCGGGTCTTCCAAGATTCCTAGGCAAGATTATAAAAATCGTTTCTTCAGTGAATTATAGATATTGTATAGTGGATATAAGATTCTTATTAAACTGGCCCCGAACTTAAGGAGCATCTCGTGGGGCGTATTGAACGGATAAAAAAAAAGTGGTCACAAGAAAGGGGACATATATACAGGAAGGATTCGGCTGGCGCCACGACGGTGTCTAGGCACCTACGCGGGAAAGAGAGGGAAGAGAAAAAGTGGAGGAGATAGCATCGGGCATCGGGACGGCCGTGGCGTTTTATTGCTCGATAAGCAGATGAATTCGTCAGATAATTTCCAGGCCCGATGCAGATGATTTTATTAGCTAAACCCGTACGAGACCCCGGAATTCTTCGGGTCGAGGATTGAGATGACACGGGCTCCGGGAAGATCACCAGAGAGATACGAGATAAGACGAGATATCGAGGGAGGTCCCGGCCAGGTGTCCTCGCGTGAATTCGTATGATCGATGATTTTCGGATATGCTAATCTTTCGCGCGGTGCGTTCGTTCTCTCGTCCCGACTTGTAGTGTACAACGCGCGACTTAAGAGATCGACAAGCGAGTTCAGCAAAAGATGCGCCCGTAGAAGCACGACGCCAAGACGGTGGAAACGAAGGCGACGAAGCAAAAGGGTGGCACGAAAAATATAATTCCCGTCCTCGGGTACGCGCTTTTGTCTCGCTGCCCCCGTCCACCTTTTTTTTTGCCTCCTCTCATAAAAGCGAGTTTCGTATTAAAAAGGCACGGCACATAATTAATGTCCGACGGTCACGAAGGATGCGCGGAGCGCGAGTCGAACGCGGCCGGTATCCCATATATACATGTGCCGATTTATAAAGAACATGCATTCCTCTACTCGCATACGCGTGCTCACGCATAGGCGCGTATATGCGCGTCGCGTGCCGCGACGAACCGCGGCGACTTGCGCACGTGCGTGCTGAAGTGCGCGACCGCTGAAAGCGCTTACATTAAATTCTTTAA